CTTTGTAGTTCTTATGCTTTGAAATCTGCATGTTTTATAAAATTACGGAGGCATATGTATAATGAAGAAAGGTTAGATGGTTTGTCTGAGATTACGTTGGTATGACCAATGCCTCTGTGACTTAACTCTTCCAACTGTGCAGCTCCCACGGCTTAAGTGACTGAGAAATTTGCATAGATGCTGAAGAGACCCTCATTTAACTTTTCGGGTAGTGATAAATGTGGCCCCTGTTTTGGGGGAAAAAAGGAAACCAAAACATAATAAGCATTTGCTTACTGAATGGGAGCATTGCCAGCATAGCTGAAAACTCCTTCCCCTCTGCTGACAAGTGGCTGATACTGAGTCCTGGAGGGGCCATAAATTATAATGTCTTCTAAATACTACAAGGTGTTACCGAGGTCCTGCAGAAATAATTAAGCCTGAGAAGTTCACTTATCCTCAGGCTGAGACACTTGAGCTATGATTATGTGCAAAGCTTGCTTCCTTTCCGAGTGAACTACAATTTGGTGGACAGGACGAGATGATTTGAGACATCTTAAATTAGAAGCTTTGTCCTATGGTTGTGCCTTTGGCTGGTGTGCTAGATGGATTTGTTACCGATCGTTGTTTCCTATAAATCCCAAAGGCTACCGTCTCCACTGTGATTGAATGGGAACATGAAGCTTTGGAATGCTTACGTTTGAGTGTGGGTTTAATTTGAGTGCGATTTAAAGTGAAAGAATACATAATGGACTTGTTGGGGTAGAAAAGGAGGTGAAAATTTAAGATGTGTGTGTTTTTGTGTGGGCTCATGCTTCTTAGTGAATTTTCACACCTTCCAGTTTCTTGAGAAAGGATCGTCTCCTAAAACTTAGTGTGGCTGGTAGTCCTTATACTCTAGAACAGGGTGGGAAAGGTCCTGGGCTTGAGTTGTGACTCTACCACTTAACATCTTTGGATCTTGGTTTCCTCACATAGAAGAGGAAACTGCCACAGATAAGTGACGTGCTGGTTATACACAGCAAATGAGATCATGCCTACCAAAGTGCTTTGCAGCAGGTCAGACATCCTCACACCTACAAGGAACTCATAGTCTAGCTGGGGAGAGAAAAGCTATCATCTGAAATAACAGGAAGACCATTCTAGAATAGAATATAGCAGAAACAACCTGTAAGGTAACGGCTATAAGTGCTGTGGGATTTCATGGTGAGGAGAGATTGTTGGTGTTTGGGGTGATCAGTGAAGGTTTCCCAGGGAAGATGGATTCTTTCAGGTCTCATAAAATGTAAACATTTTGACTGGATGATGGGCAGGACAGCAGTTACACGACTAAGCAGGAATGAAATTGGAGTGAGTAGGGTATATCTAAGAAGCAGTGGCAGGCAGCCAGCCAGCCACGAGGCTTACCCAGGACAGCATAAGCCAGGTGCCCTTGGTAGCTAAACCTGTGTCAGCTTTTCTTTGAGTAACAGAAATTCTCTTTGTGAGGCTTTGCTTCATTCTTATACTTAGTGGAGAGAGTAGTCATCATATACTTTCCTTAATTATTGGAGCACTTACTGGGAAACAGAACAAAAGTCAGCAGGTGTAGACTAGAAAGTATCTTTTTCTTCTACCTGTTTTAGTTGTATTTCGAATTTCTCTTGTCCCATTTTCAAATGTCCCCTCTCTCGCAGAACTCCTCATGGCCTCTGATTCCGAGTGGAATCACAAGTCTGAATGAAGCTGGACGGGTCACGTAGACCGGCGTCTTGCTTTCTTGGGGACTGAATCTGAACTCTGCTTGGACGAGAAAACTGTCTTCTTTCAAAAAGCCACATTGGGCTGTGACAGAGTAGCTAGTATTAGAGTAACCCTCCTCCTAGGAAAAGAAAAAGAAGTATCAAAGCTTATTAAAATCGATAGAGCAACAGTTGAGAGGCATTGGAGAGCCATCAGCACAGTCAGTTCTTGAGGGACTGTGGCTCCTGAAGGAAGGGACTCACGCTGGGCGGCATGTTCCCTTGAGCTTTTTCCCTGAGGGCACTTTCTAATTCACAGTCTGTACATCTGGAGTCTGAGCAGAAAGCAGCAGCCCCCTAGGGCCGAGAGGTTGGAATTAGGGGTACCCCAAAGTGTCGGGGACATGAAGGACAAAATCCCTGGAAGACGGGAACCGCAGGAAGTAAGCAAAAATTGGGCATGTGGCCTTCCCTTGAAGTGTTTGCCAACTCCTGAGGTGAGCAGAGCAAGACTGTAAGAATCCCTGCAGAAAGAAGCATCTGGGAGCCTGACAAGCTGTGCAAACATCCCAGCCGCCATATATAGTACTGGTGAGATGGAGCTTGGTATCCCAGGCTGCCAAGATACAGGGGACCTGGTGGACACTCCAGGCTTTACTTGAAGGCCCCAAAGGGCCCCACTACAAGAGAAAGGGAAAGCCAAGGAAAGTTAGCCCCAACAAAAGGTAAAGTCACCCACTGATAGGATTAAAGTGGGCTGACTGCCTTCGCTGTGCCCTCCAGAAGAAATGTTACACTCTTAGGAGGAAGATAATTTGGTACATCCAGAACCACTACAGTTTTTAATACAGAATGTTTGGTGTCCAATAAAAAATTAAGAGGTACATTGGAAATGGAAACCAGATGACCAAAACGAAGAGTAAATACAGATAGTAGAAAGAGACCCACAGGTGATTCAGATGTTGGGGTTACCAATCAGGAACTATGCTCAATAAAATAAGAGAATTGCAACAAAGATATGAAATCTACTTTTTAAAAAGTCGAATGGAAATTCTGTAACTGAAAAACATATGAACTAAATGGAGAAGTGAATATATGGGTATGATAGCAGTATAGACACACACACACACACACACACACACACACACACACACAGGACAGAGGATTATTAGACCAGGAGAAAAATTAGCAGAAAATACCCAGATTGCAGCACAGAAAAGAGAATAAGAAACCTATGGGGCATGGTGAAGACATTTCTGTCCATGTATCTGGAGTCCTAGAAGAGAGTGATAGAACCAATATTTAAAGAAATACTGGCTAAGGTTTTTCTAAAACTAGTGAAAGACATCACACCACAGGGTGAAGAAGCTCTAACCTCAGTGGGGTTAATACCATGAGCCACACCTAGGTACATCATAGGCGAACTATTGTAAGCTGAAGACAGAGGGCAAAGTTTTGAAATAACACATGCTCTCAGACTATAGTGCGATCAAAGTAGAAGTCAGTAACAGAAAGATAAATAGAAAATCCCAAAATGTATGGAGATTAAACGGTATACTTCTAAAAAGTTCATTTTTTTTTTACCTAAACTATAATGAAAATGACATACAATTTTGTAGGATGCATTTAAAATAATGCGTAGAGGTACATTTATAGCTTTAAATGCATATATTAGAAATGCATAGAAAGAAAGATTAAAATCAGCAATCTAAACTTCAATCTCAAGCTAAATGCAGGGCACCTGGGTGGCTCAGCCGGTTAAGCATCTGACTTCGTCTCTGGTCATGATCTCGCAGTCCGTGAGTTCAAGCCCCGCATCGGGCTCTTCTCTGACAGCTCAGAGCCTGGAGCCAGCTTCAGATTCTGTGTCTCCCTCTCTCTCTGTGCCCCTCCCCTGCTCGTGCTTGTGCTCTCTTTCTCTCTCTCTCAAAAATAAATATTTTAGGGGCGCCTGGGTGGCTCAGTCGGTTGAGCATCCGACTTCAGCTCAGGTCATGATCTCACAGCTCGTGAGTTCAAGCCCCGCGTCAGGCTCTGTGCTGACAGCCTGGAGCCTGGAGCCTGCTTCAGATTCTGTGCCTCCCTCTCTGTCTGCCCCAACCCACTTGCATTCTGTCTGTCTCTCAGAAATAAACATTTAAAAAAAAAAATTAAAAAAAAAAATAAATATTTTAAAAAATTTAAAAAAGAAGCTAAATGCAAGATGAATTAAAGTCCCCCCAAATAGAAGAAAGGGAATAAAAATAATAGCAGACAAGATAGAAAGATAAGAAAAAAAAGTATGATAAAGAAAATCAGCAAAACCAAACATTTGTTTTTTGAAGAGATTAATAAAGTTGATAAACCTCTGGTAAGAGGAAATGCAAAGAGAAGACACAGATTATCAACATGAGGAATGAAAAGTGGTATATTACTGCAAATTCTACAATGCATTGAATAGATTTAGTGCAATAAATTTAACAACTTAGATGAACACATTTCTTGAAAAATACTACTTTTGAAGCTGACACTCATTAAAATACGCATAATCCTGTGTGGATGAAAGAGGACTAATCATGATTTAAAACCTTCACACACCAAAAAACACCTAGCCCAGATGGCTTTTAGGTGAATTCTTCTAAACCTTTCAAGAAAGAAATAATGCCAACCTTGCATTAAATTTCTCAGGGAATAGAAAAAGAAGGAACACTTTCAACATTTTATGAGGCCAGCATAACCTTGGCAGCAAAATCTGACTTAAATGTTCTAACTGTTGACAAAAGAAATCAGGCACAAGAGAATAAGTACTGTTTTGATTCCATTTGTATGAAGTTCAGTAGCAGGCACAATAGAAATCAGAATAATGATTACTCTCGGATGATTGAGAAAGTGCCTGGGAAGCATGAGGGAATCTTCTGGGGTTGCTGGAATGTTCTATACCTTTATATGGGTAGTAGTTATAGGATTATGTACATACCTAAAAAATCATTGAATTGTAAACTTTAAGGTTTGTACACTTTATCTAAAAAAGGACTATAACTTGTTCTGCTATAATGTGTTGCTATCATCGGACATAGTTTGTCTTATATTCAGATTGAACCCAGTGTGCACTTCACTTGCTTACACTGTTTTGACTGTATTTGATAAACTATTCCAGCACTATTCTGCTGCAGCTGGCTTGAACAGCAGGGAACGTTTGCTGTAGGCTCTTTCCCTTTGGGAATAAAGGAATTACCCAGACCCAGAGGTGGCTGTGATGGGGCATCTAGTTCTTCACCCTGTCTCGCTTGCTTACTTAATTCAGTGTTGTTTTCTTTACAGGCACGGTGGTTCTGGGAAGCGTACTTCCAGTCAATTAAAGCCATTGCCCTGGCCACTCTGCAGATCATCAATGACCGCATATATCCATATGCTGCCCTCTCCTATGAAGAATGGAATGACCCCCCCACTGTGGTGAGTGAATTCCGCTGCTAACCATGTCAGCCATGGTCCAGATGTCAAGATGGGACAAAGAAAGACGTCCTGAGTTTGTAAAGATTATTTAAATTCTAGCTATCTAAGATGAGGCTGTGCTTGGGGTCTGACAAAGTCAGCTTAATTCTGAAATGATAACAAAAGTCAAAAATACAGAAGCAGCAGCTTCCAGTTTGTTTTCAATGTGGTTAGGAAGACGGTGTGCTTATTTATTGCAGAGGTAAATGGGGAGGCCTGGCTCTTGTTGGAAATCAAACGCTTCCCGATGACTTTTGCAGTTGTAGTGCGTAGAACTCTTGAAAAGATTCTATAGGCAGCATAATAATAATAGCTTATATTTTGAATGCTTAGTCTCTGCCAGGGACAGTGCTAAGTGCTTTGCATGGATGATTTCAATCAGCACTGCCATCACTGTGTGAGGAAAATAATCAGCAAAAGCGATCTAGAGACATTATGGATTGTCACAGTCAAAACTTGCTCACGATTGTCCTTTCAAAAGACTGTACCAATTAATACTTCTACCGACAACATTTTGGTTATTTGGGCTCTCCCTGCCTTCCGTAACCCTGAATGCTTGAATCTGTGCTCATCTGCTAGGTAAAAAATGATCTTACATGTGTGTATTTTTCAAGTGGAAGGTTGATATCTCTGTTAGTTTCTCCCAGAATATAAATACAAATCCTGTTTGTATTTTGTTGGTCACATGGAATTTTTAGATTGTTTTAGGCATTTATTCATTCAGTAGGTATTTACTGAGTGGCCACTACCTTCTACCTTCTAAACAGTGTTCTTGGTACTTGAAGTGTATCAGTGAATAAAGCAGAGAAGATCCATGCCTTTGGGGAGTTTACACCGCAATGGGTCTTGCTATCTGGAAGCAAGATTTATCTTTCTAGTTGAATTTTAAAGTTTTCTTTAAAAAAATTTTTTTAAGTGTTTTATTTATTTTTGAGAGAGAGAGAGAGAGAGACAGAGACAGAGTATGAGTGGGGAGGGGCAGAGAGAGAGGGAGACACAGAATCCAAAGCAGGCTCCAGGCTCTGAGCTGTCAGCGCAGAGCCTGATGCAGGGCTCGAACTCGTGAACCATGACATTGTGACCTGAGCTGAAGTCGGATGCTTAACCAGCTGAGCCACCCAGGCGCCCCAGAATTTTAAAGTTTTCTTTATATCAGTTCTTCACAATTCCTGATTAATTTTTTCTAATTTTACCTTTCTTATTCTCTATAAAGGAATACTTTCTGATATTATAGTTTCTAACTAGTTACCATTGTATAAAGACACATTATTGTTTTTTTATATAAATTTTGTTAAGTATTCTTTTACTGAGTTCTACAATTTTTTCACTTTTATTTAGTTGATTCTCTTGTTTTCTAAATCTGCAATCATATGTGCAAATGCTGACTTTCCCTCTTTTTCCCAATACTTAAACCTTTTATGGTTATTATTATTTTTTTTTTATCTAAATACGTTGGCTAGTACATTCAGCACAATGCTAATTGATGATCTGAGTGTTAAAAGAGAAAGGAGGTGTTATCTAGTCCGAGAAAGGGGGGATATTGGTCCCATGCAGAAGGAACAGCAGATCCAGAGGTTCCGAGGCGCTGGAGAACGTGTGGGTTTAAGGAACTGCAAGGAGGTCAGTGTGGCAGGACTGGCGGAGGCTCACGGGGGAGAGGCCAAAGACGAAGCCTGGAGAGGGCCCCAGTCACAGAACACCTCAAATGTCATGGAGGTGTTGGCCTGTTATCTGTGGGTTATTTAAGCTGGGAAGTAAAGGGGGGAGATTGTATTTTGGGTCAATCAGACATCAGTGTGGAGAACGGATCCCTCGCAGTGGGACGGGTCGAGAGCAGAGGCAGGGGCCTATTTAAGGAATCCAGGTGAGAATTAGTAGGGGGCAGTTTGAGGGACCACAGGAAGAACTGGCTATGCTAACTGGCTGGTGAGTGAGAGCAGTTAGGGAGAGTGAGGCATACGGGGTATTTTATCCAGATAGGGAGTGTGGGCACATGGAGGTTGCGGGCAAGCGTGCTACTTGAGTCCAAACTCAGTCTGACTGCAGGGCCTTCCAGTCTGGCTCCAGCCTGCCTTTCCGGTTTTATTCCCTTCTGTTCCCCTTTAGGGAGTTCTGGGTTTCTGCCAACACAACCTTGTTGTGTCCTTCTTGTCCTTCTTGTGTATGATCCGTGCTTTTCCTTCTTTGTGCCTTTGAGATGCCTTTCTCCACCATTACCTCCAAGTGTCCATATTTTATCCAAATTTCAGTGACCTGCTCATATACCTCTCCCTCCTTGAGGTTTTCCTAGACCCCTTAAATAGAAAGTAATCTTTCCTCCTTGTAACTCTTAGAGCATATTTCTGTATTTCTTTCCTGCCTCTTAACACGCATAGAAGCATAATTTCCCGTAGAGTTTTAAGCTTCTTAACAGAATTTCTGAGTTATCTTGGTATTTCTTGTAATACCTAGGACAAGTTAATTCAGACAGGAGGCCCTTGATGTATAAAGGAGGGAGGGAGGAAAGGAGGGACATTGGGATCCCAAGACATGAGCCATCTAGGGCTTACTCACATGCTGATGTGACATACATTGTTTCATTTGACCTAAACCCTGTTGAGAAGATGGGAAAAGTGATATATTCTTTCCCTTCTATTAAGTGGACATAATGAATGTCACAATGCGTAATGACTTGGCTGGGGTCATATAATTGGCAAGTTGCATAAACAAGTGAGAACCCAGGTCTTCTGATGATCTTGAATTGCTTATGGAGTTTTGTAGGTGCCAGGCCTCCTCTGGGCTGAAACATTTCTACTATTCCAACTCAATGGCATCAGCTTGAGACGAAGAATACCACCCTGTTCCTCTACAGGAGAATCATACAGGTGGGGTGTCATGACCCAACCAGAAGGTGTGGAAAGAGTGGGACTTTATTTCTGTACTTTTAATCTAAAACTCTAAGAAAAGTCCAATGAGAATAAATGGTTGGAATTTTGATTCTCTGTTTTTCATAAGACTATTGGGCCAGGGGAAAGTAGTACATGAAAATTTGTAGTTTTGAAAGACTTGTGTTTTAATGGAGGACAGAATGGTCATAGTGCTGGACTATCAATTTGGGAAAGAATGTAAGTATAAAAAGCTTAAATCTGGATATGCAACTGGAAAATATGATCAATTTTTTTTTTTTTTTTTTTTTACTTCTTAAACAGTTCTTTTTAGGGGAATTTAGTGCTCACCACATTTCTAGGAGCTCAGGTGATGAGAGCCCTGATTTAAAGCAGTGGGTTGTACATTTCTGCATTTTCAGCAAAGGCAACTGACAGGAGGTCTGAGTAGTACTGATTTATTTATAGCTAACTTTTCCCCTCCCCTTTGGAAATATTTAACCTACTCTAGATGTGATTTCTATGAGCCCAACCTGCAGGGGAGTCTCCTGTCTAGATTCCATCAAATTTACAATATCAGACACCACGAGGTGGGAGGAGGTGTGCATCTTGGTCAGTAAATCAAGGGATGGTCTGGTGTTTTCAAAGATACGCTGTCAGGGCCTCCAGCCAGCCATGCACTGAACTTGCTCAGGCCAGAGAGGAAAGAGTGAGAGCAGAGTCCTGTTTTGCCAGATGTTACTGCCTTAGTTTAATGTAAACAACAACAACAACCACAACCACCTGTGTGTGTGTGTGTGTGTGTGTGTGTGTGTGTGTGTGTGTGTGAGATAAAGATAGCGAGGGGTGGCCTTGTAGAAACCAAGTGTTTCTGTCACCAGATGACACATTTGCCACTTTTATCTTTAGCTAGGTAGGAGGTACGTTATATTATCCACGTTGTGCCACACTCTCGAAACTTGAACAAGTTTGACAAAATAATTCTTGAGCATAACTTTAAAGCAGCAGATGTATCTGGTTTGGAGAGACTGGCACTTTGTTTTCATTCTCCTCTTTGGAAGGAATTTCTCACCAAGTTAAGCTTCCTTACGAGAGCACAACAAGTTTTATTTTACCAATAATTTTCCTAACTCCTCATGGCAAGGCTGACTGTATTTCCCTGCCTTTTTGGTCTTTCCATATGCTTTTTCAATCTTTCTTCCCTTTTTTGCAGATATCAGCAAAACTTTATCATCTCCCCAAATGCCCCACACCTGCATCACTTGTAACATTAGTGTCATTTCTGGTCTTGCCTGTGGCAGGCCTCATCCGTACATCTGGGCCTCGCCTGTGGAGTGGAGGGGCGGGGTGGGGGGGTGGTGCTCCTCAGACACCCTCTCCTGCCTTAACTCTGGTTCTTTGCCAAATGTGAGCATGTCTGGCAGACAGAGACCAGCAAGTGAGCATTCCATGTGCTCTGGGGACGCAGTCGGCCAACAACTGTGAATTTTGGGTTTCTGACATGTGTGACCAAAACCATATCCTCTCGGTGACAGTTTTTTAAAAATTCAAAATATTATGGCCCTCAAGTCATGTTCAAGAGTGCAATATTTTCCTAGGTCATGTTTCTACGACGTGACTTGAAAGACTGTACCTCACCTTTATCAGTAAGTCATAACCTTACTTACCCAGTCCCTTTAGACAGACACTTCGTGTTTTTCAAATTTGCCATCCTAGGAACCGCTAATAGAGAGACCGCAGGTTATCCCCTCTTCCGCACTGGCTCTACTGGCCCTAGAGCAGAAAGGAGAGCTAGCTACAGTCCCATGGCCTTTGACAAAAATTGATGAGAAAAATACGAAAATGACCTCAAATGGATTATTGTATCCAGCATAAGAGTGAGGTTGAAAAACGAGAGCTTTTTCCTGTGAAATCTAGCCAGAGGGGCGACTTAGCTGCGAGCAAGACCTCAGATGAGGATCATGTGCTTGGCTGGACTTCGACGAGCCTCGTGTCCGAGCCTCAGCAAGGGACCGGCAGAGGGGGGTTGTGCATCAGAGTCCTTGATTGGTACTTGTCGCCCTTGAGGAGCAGGAATCAGAGTTGTGGCTAAAAGAT